AAACTCTAAAGCCCTAAACCCTAAACGCTAAAGCCCTAAACCTCAAACTCTAAAACCCCAAACACTAAGCCCTAAACTCTAAAGCCCTAAACTCTAAACGCTAAAGCCCTAAACCTCAAACCCTAAAACCCCAAACACTAAGCCCTAAACTCTAAAGCCCTAAACCCTCAACTCTAAAGCCCTAAACCTCAAACCCTAAAACCCCAAACACTAAGCCCTAAACTCTAGAGCCCTAAACCCTAAACTCTAAAGCCCTAAACCTCAAACCCTAAAACCCCAAACACTAAGCCCTAAACTCTAAAGCCCTAAACCCTAAACTCTAAAGCCCTAAACCTTAAACTCTAAAACCCCAAACACTAAGCCCTAAACTCTAAAGCCCTAAACCCTAAACTCTAAAGCCCTAAACCTCAAACTCTAAATCCCCCAACACTAAGCCCTAAACTCTGAAGCCCTAAACCCTAAACGCTAAAGCCCTAAACCTCAAACTTTAAAACCCCAAACACTAAGCCCAAACCTCTAAAGCCCTAAACCCTAAACGCTAAAGCCCTAAACCTCAAACTCTAAAACCCCAAACACTAAGCCCTAAACTCTAAACCCTAAACCCTAAACAAAGCCACTGTCTACGTGAGGCCTCGCGAGGTCTCCCGGTGCGCGAACGGCGTCTGGCAGCCTGGGGCGGCAGCGAAATCGTCTCTGCCAGTCTTAGTTTAGGGTTTAGGGTTATGGGTTTAGGGCTTTAGGGTTTCGGGTTTAGGGTTTTAGGGTTTAGGGTTTACCTGGGCAAAATAATGGCCCAGAGCCATATAAAAAGCGATGATTCTACATAATTACTTTGGGGTTCAGGTAGGGTTTAGGGCTCAGGGGGTGTTAAAGGAAACAGGGTCAAGGTTGTAGGGTTTCGGAAAAGGTCGGAAGACAGGGTAAAGGTTTTCCGGTGCATAGGGTTTTGGGGAACTTTACATCGGTTTCGGGGCTTTTGCCAAGCATGGGCACCGGCGGAAGAAACTGAGACTCGGCTGACTACGACAAGCGGCTCCTTGCAAAGCCTGTCTCGCAGAAGCTCCGCCAGAGCAAGGTCAAAAACGGCACGGCCTGCCGTCGAAAAAACTCCTTAATGAATATGGGCCCTGTTGTAGGAAAGCAAAAAAGCAACCATGCAGGATATCAGGTATGTCGATTTTTCTTTGCTATCAGACCTCTATGTAAAAATTTTACACGTTAAGTCGATGCTACGAGTATGCTACGAGTAGGGCTTGGTTTTTGATCTAGGGTCCCACCCTGAGCCCTAAACTCTCAATCCTAAACCCCTAAACCCTAAACCCTAAAACCCTAAACCCTAAACCCTACACCGTGGTGTGCATTCAAACTCTCGAGCTCTTGTCTCCAGGGCCAATCGGGTAAGGGTTTAGGGTTTAGGATTTAGGGTTTAGGGGTTTAGGGGTTTGGGGTTTAGGATTTAGGGTTTAGGGGTTTAGGGGTTTAGGTTTAGGATTTAGGGTGTTTACGGTTTAGGGGTTTAGGGGTTAAGGGTTTAGGATTTAGGGTGTTTAGGGTTTAGGGTTTAGGGTTTAGGGTTGGGCTGACCAAAGTGCCTGGCGTTGCAAAATAAGTAGGCGTTAGGGTTCGGGGTTTAGGGTTCAGGGTCTATATAGTCTAGTCTACAAAGAGTCTATCACCCTAAACCCCAAACCCTAAACCCTCTCTCTCTCACAGGCGTTGCCCTAAAACCCTAAACCCCTAAGCCCTAAATCCGACAGGCTTCTCGAGTTTGACTTGAAGTCAAGGGTTCTGGATGCAGCCGGATTCATTTGCCTGCGGATTCCAAGCGTCTGAGTCCAAGTTCTCTTCAGAAGCCCGGCTGAACCCGTCTTCGTAGGGCGCGTTCCTTGAAACATAATGAAAGCCTTTGACCCCTTTTATCGGGTTCTTTAGACACCTGATAAAAACTGTTTATAAGCCATAATCAGCACCTTTTTACATATAGATTTATCAAAACGATGTTGAACAGTTGGGGAGACCCCTGTGTTTCTGGGCTTCTGGAGGACCCCCTAAACCCTCAACCCCTAGACCCGGCACCTAAACCATCAAACCATCAAGCCCTAAACCCTAAACCCTAACCACCTAAACCCTCCCCAACCCGGCACCTAAACCATCAAACCCTAAACCCCTACACCCCTAACCCTTAAACCCTTAACCCCTAACCCGGCACCTAGACCATCAAACCCTAAACCCTAAAACACTATAAACCCTACAACCCTAAAACCCTAGCCACCTAAGTCCTAAACTCCCCTGGGCTTCGATTCCTTGCCCCACGCGCGTCCCCAGAAGATCGAAGAGCCACCTGCGGGAAAGCGCTGTAGGGGCCTTCGGGTTTTAGGGAATCGTCGCAGCGCTTATCGGGTTTTAGGGTTATAGGGTTTAAGGGTTTAGGGTTTAAGGGTTTAGGGCTTAGGGTTTAAGGGTTTAAGGGTTTAGGGTTTAAGGGTTTAGGGTTTCGGGTTTTAGGGTCTAGCGTTTGGGGTTTAGGGGTTTGGGTTTAGGGGTCTAGGCCTTCCTTTAGGGTTTTGCGGTTTACAGATTTTTGGGGGTGTCCCAAACCTTCGCAGCGAACCTCTGAACCGGGGCACATCCCATGCCCCAATTGATCACCAGACTTCGAAACGAAATATTAAACCCTAGCCCTAATCCTAAAACTCTAAACCCTGAAACCCTAAAACCCTAAAACCCTAAACCCTAAAACCCTAAAGCCCTCAAGCCCTAAACCCCAAAACCCTAAACCCTAAAACCCTAAACGCTAAACCCAACTTCTCCAATCCCTCAAGCTTGCACTGCAAACGCCGAGCCGTGCAAGCCCGGAGTGCTCTATGGTATTTGTAGCAAGAACAGGGTCCACAGCGGGTTCTTGAGGGTTTTGTTCAGGGTTTAGGGTTTTGGGTTTAGGGGTCCGCAGCGGGTTCTTGAGGGTTTTGTTCAAGGCTACTGTACGGCTTGCACAATTTGTGGGCCTTAAGGGCCTTAATAAATAGGAACTCTGGAATACCGGCTTTAATTACTTGCCATCCCTTGCCTCAGTTGGTCGGATGGGCAACTAATACAGATCGGACTTCCAATAGTAGATTACATCCTTATATCCCTGAATGTGCAGGCTAAGTTTTTTGGGCAGGGTTTTACAATTGATGAACGCCAGATCCATGTTGAAGTTGAAACTGCGAAGGGCTGAGGGCGATATCTACTCAGACTATGTAGAGGCAGTACCCCTCTAATGGCTCTAATGACTAACTCCGAGGTCCAGGCCTGTTCACAAAGAGCAAGGCGAAGTCCTTTGCAGAAACCGTTCAGGGATTTTTTTCCTCAAGGCTGCTTTAGGGTTTATAGGGTTCGAGGCTTGAAGGTCGAGCCAAGCCGTGATCAACATAGGAGCCTGAATATTTATAAATAGAGTTAGAGAGTATATTCTAAGTAATGAAGGAACCCTAAGAAAAATGTTTCATCTTTCTGGCCCTTACCAGACGTGCAGTTTGGGTCGTTTGGAAAGGTTGCTGCCAGACGTTGGAAGCTTCCGCGAAAGCCAGTTTCGGGTCACGCTTCAAGGGTTCCTAAACCGTATAGAAACCTTATACCCCATGTAGGGGCCTAAATAATTAGAATAGGTTTTTGGTGTATATTATACAATCATTGTAAAAAGGAACTCCCAAAATGGTATAGGTAATTATCTAGGCGCCGATACGCCTAAGAATTTCCGCCTGCCTGCAAAAGCCTCTGCTGGGAACCAAACGAGGGGCTTACGGCAAACGCTCAAGTCTGCAGTGCAACTCATCGGGCATGGCCTTAGGCGAAACCCTAAAACGCTAAACAGCAGTGCCTCCGTTCGACCATCTTCTCGACGCCACCAGAGAATGTTGTCGGCGAGTCGCTGCGATAGCCTTTTCTGAACATGAAGAGCATCCCCAACCCCCAACAACCTACCAAAGGCCTTATCAGTTGTTGTATTGGGCTGCATTTTCTTGTATGATGTCTATGATGCTTTACGGTGTTTAGAAGGCCTGATAGGAGGTTGAATACGTTAATTGGTCTGAACAGTTACGAAGAAAATCTCCGCATGGTCCCCATCTAGTATAACTCCGCCATGAAAGGGGAGAAACCCTGGTTTAAGCCATGCGCGTGGCCCCTATATTTCTGCACGGGCACCAAACTTTCGCTGGCTGTCGTGCTACGGAGAGACGTATTGAGCAAGTCTGCCTTAGAGGCTCAGGGCTTGCCCGAAATAGTAACCCTAAACCGTCTTATGCCTAAAGCATGTTTCTAACTAAGGGGTGGGAACACTGTAAGCAGGGTGATCAGAAACGGAAGGGGATTGAACTGTACAACTCGAAGCCCACCTGTGTCTTATATAACCCTCTCAGGAAGACTGTCTCAAACCCTCTCGGAAAGAATGCTACTAGTGACATAGTACAACTCGAAGCCCACCTGTGTCTTATATAACCCTCTCAGGAAGACTGTCTCAAACCCTCTCGGAAAGAATGCTACTAGTGACATAGTACATGAGTATGTGAGGACACCGAGGAAGAATGTCATAGTACAGTTACATCGAAAGTCAAGGCTTGCAGCTGCATGGCAAGCAGCAAACAACATGGGAACTCACCACGTTCCGAACTCTGCAACCAAGACGCGTCTCGTAGACGTCCTGGAGTCACCACATACTAGCTTGAAACGCCCACAACGTAGCCTCCGTCCTTGAAAACCTTGATCTTGCAGCCCAGCTTACCATGAAGAGTAGTTCTGCCACGCCCTTCAAAGGACTGCCCCACAGGTCCCTTGCCTCAAAGCATAGACCTTGCCTCAAAGCATAGAAACACAGAGCCCCGCACCATCCGCACCCTATATTAGTCACTGGCTCAAACATGTTAATCCGTCCATTCGGGGGCCGACTGATAAGCTTTTCGGGGTGCCTCTCTTAGAGGAGGACTGGAAGAGGATGCAACACTTCTTCAACAACCGTGCGAGAGTATCGCGCATTTTGATTCCTAAGCCCTAAACCCTAAACCCTGAACCCTAAAAGAAGCCCTGTGAGGAGCCCTTGAAGGCATCATACATAAGTATAATCCGACGGTTTCGTCGCAAGTCTCGGTCCGAAGATGGGGCAGGTTGGTTTTGAAAGGGTGTAGGGGTTTAGGGGTGTAAGGCTTTAGGGGTTTAGGGGTTTGGTTTAGGCGTTTCGGGTTTACGGTTTAGGGGTGGTTTAGGGCTTCGGATTGCTCATCGGTTTCTTTCTTCATCCGAGGCCTGAAGAACGGTCGGACGGCTCTTGAGAGGACAAGAAGTACTACAAGGCTTGCGTAGGGGAAACAAGCACACCATCTTGCTCAAGAGGCTACTACCACTGTTACTACAACAACTCTGATATTATACCAGCCTCGACCCCAAACAGCAATTGAGAAGTACCGATTCCGATACCAGACGGGCGTTAGAGCATCCAGAATGTGGGAGACAAATGGGAGACAAGTGGGAGACAAATGAGTAGCGATTTTTAGAGTAGT